TCTGAGCTGTGTTTCCTGGGGTGTGAAAAGACACAGGGAGACCCCCACCCAGGATTTTTTTTTAAGCATACAGAATGTGTGAAGTGACTCCATCCATTTGGCACCAGTAGGGTTTTTCTTTAGGGTCATTTGCATAGGTGAGTGGTCTCCCCAGCTTCCGGTAGAGGTAGGGTGGAAGGCTCAAAGACCTAACTGTCTATGGATTACAAGAAAAAGATGTGACACTAGCATCTGCCACTGGGGTTGGTTTGATTGAACAGTAAACGCTTTACGACCTGGGCTGTAGAGCTTGGCACGTGTGCCGAAGTTTTCACGTGGACTTGGAGGTGGTGGATGCATTGGGGCCACCTGTGCGTGCTCAGGCTGGGGAGCGGCTGTGAGTGGGACATGGTCTTCCCCACCCCACCCCATCCCCTGCTGTGAAAGGTTGCCACCCGCACTCAGTTCTGCTGGTACCTAAAATATAACCCAAGGCCCAGAAACTCTCTGGCTGGAGCTATCTGTTGTATTAGCTCCTCCCGGAGGGTCTGGTGCACACCCCTACCTGATGGGCTTTGCTGAGTTTTTTTTTTTTTTTTTTTTTTTTTAATTTTTAATCCTTGCCAACTCGAGACCAGAACGCTTCTGTTCCCAGGAGGCAGCGGCATTTGTGCAAACAAGGTCCTTGTTTGCATGGGTGTTTTTATTTCTCCTGGGTACTGTGGGACCCTTCAGATAGCAAAGACCAGGCTTTTCTTTCGGTCTCTGAGTGTGTGTGTTTGCAAGGACAGAGTTCTCCCCCATCTTCCAGCACCCTGCTGAAATGAATAGAAATGGCTTTCTCTGTATTGCACGTGCTATTAACTCTGTTATGGAAAATGGCAGATAAACTAACGAGAAATCAGCTGTTAGCCCCTTGGCTGCCCAAGAAGGTGCACTTTGCTTTTGAGTTCTGCACTCACAGCCAGAGTCGAGGGCAGAGCTGACGGCATAGCTTGCATAAGGATACCCAGAGCTGCAGTCTGCTCGGGTTACGCCCGCTGGGGCTGAACATGCGGGGTCTTCCAGAGCCTGCTAACTCAACCTGGGTGGTCCCAGAAGCTGGCACTGGCTTTGCCTAGGAGCTCGGTAGATCCATGGACTCTAGGTATCCACCCAGGCCTGGACTTACCCAATATGAGCCTGCTCTTTGGGAAGACAGCCAGGGCACAGGTCGGGGAAGCACGGCTGTGGGAGAGACCTGTGGTTGTCTGTCCTGAGCTGTGGTTTTGTTCTTGATCGTGGGAACTTTGGCATTTGTCCTGGGTCTTTGGATCTCGTTGGTTTGCAAGGTGATGTCATGTACGTCCCTGGGCCCTGGGAGCATCCTGGGAGGGAGGCAAGGTAGTTCGCACTGGGCTTGCCATCTAAACATTAGTGCCTCTGTTTTCCCCTTGTAGAAATTAAGTCAAATATGTATGATGGATTCTCGCAGAGCATAAGACCTAGTGCTGGGCTCTCGTTCTGTCTACTCCGGGGAGCCGCCAGAAGCAGTGTTTTAAAACTTTACATTTGTGGATTTGCCTTAATCATCTGGCCTTCCCCGGGAGTGTTTGAGGCAGCCAATGTAGAGCGACATCGCAAGGATGGCCTGGAAGTGAGTGCAGCCCTGTTTTTGGGGTAACACACCTCCCTCCAGCCCCTCTGAAATGCTGCAGGTCTTAGGTTTCTCAAAGCACAGCATCAGCCAGACGTCTCAGACGCCTGGGAAGAGTTTGCTCATTAAGACATACTAGTGTCTTCTAAGAGCAAATCCGTTTACTGATTTTAAACTTTATCATTGGCAGTTTGATTTACAGATCTGTTTAAATGTCTCACGTGTGTGTGTCCAGATTAAGCTAAAGTAGAAGTAGGGAGAGTTTGCTTTATGTTAAAAATTTGCTTCATTTATTTGAAAGGGAGAATGACAGAGCACAGGAGATACAGTGGAAGTTTTTCCATCTGTTTGTTCCCTGTCCCAGATGGCTTCGGCTGGGCATTGCTGAAGCCAGGTGCCAGGAACTCCATCTGGGTCTCTCACTTGAGTGGCAGGGGCTCCAGCACTTGGGCCATCTTCTGCTGCTTTCCCAGGTGCATTAGCAGGAAGCTGGATCAGAAGTGGAGGATCAGGGACTCCAATCCGTGCTCATATGGGATGCAGGCATCACAGGCGGCAGCTTAACCCACTATGCTACAGCACCAACCCCACCAGCCAGAACCGGGAGATTGTAAAGAAGCCAGGATTCCCTTGTGCTCTTTCAGTTTAATTTTTCTTTCTTTTTTTGTCATCACCAGCCCCCTCTTCTCAGGTTAATTGACACATCATTCCACCACCTTCCTTCAAATAGAATTTTGCTATGAAAATGTTCCTGAACGTTCCTTGGCAGCTAAGATTTACGTAATGTTCCTTCTCATCTAAGTTGCATGATAAAGATATTTCTAGAAACGTTAAGTATGGTTCTAGCTTAATTATCAGTGAGGCTTTAAGACATGTAGGCATCTTCCGGTGTGTGTTGGAGACACCGTGGAAAGTTATTTGTAGAACTGACAGAGCTCACCCGGTGTTGCACCTGTGTTGGTGAGGGACTCATGCTAGTCCATTGCAGTTCCCATTGCATCGTTCTGTTTTTAGCGGAGAGTCTGCCAGGGACATTATGTAGGTGTGGCCTGCAGCTAGAGAGAGTCGCAGGGAGGTGACTTTCGACCCAGTTTGGCCAAGCCACAGTGA